AAGCAGGCTCCCTGCCGAGCAGGGAGCCTGATGCGGGACTCGATCCAGGGACTCCAGGATCATGACCTGAGCCGAAGGCAGTCGCTTAACGAACTGAGCCACCCAGGCACCCCTAAAGCACGCTTTTTGAAAATATTACTTGGTATATTGTTACTCACGTGGTTTGTATCTATTGTAATATGGAAAGTCCAAAAGTCTGGCATTGGGAGTGAATATCACTTTAATTTGTGGCTTACAGCAGAGGATGCCAGAGTCCTGCCCACATCTCCTTGCCTCTACCATTTCCATCCTTGCCAATGGTCTGTCTTCCAAATATCAACCTCTTTAACTCTTCCCTGAAGAGCTCTTTCAAACTGTCCAAGGAGCAAGCTAGAAGTGCTGGGGAATGTGTCCCCTGGGAGTAGCACTTAATCAATGACTGACAGAAGTCAGTGTATAAATACACCCAGCTTCTTGGCTTTTCCCATGGAATAAGCCTGAGACCCATGGTCTACATTGACTGCAAGAGTTTCCCAAGTGGAATTAAACTCTAGCTTTCCACAGTGGTAACTGACTTCAGAATTTACCCTTTACTGGTCCCCTCCCCCTCCCTCCCCCCCCTCCCCTCCCCTTCTTTTCCCTTCCTGCCTTCACTTCTCCACTCTCCCACCAGTATTCCCTGGGATCACTTTCCAAATAAACTACTTGCTCTCAAACTCTTGCCTCAGAGTCTGCTTCTTGGGGAACTCAAACTAATTTACATTCAGTTTGTAAAAAAGCAAGTCAGTAAGGGAGACTGTCATTTAGGGCTAAAGAACCTAGAACTTCAGCCATGTTTTCATGTTTTTTTGAGGATGGTAAATGTCAGTAAAAGGATATAACAATTCTGGTCTTTATGCTAATTTGTTTAATTTAATGTATGTTCTTAGGACTTTGAATTATTTCATTTATCAAGGAAGATTAGAATAGTAGGTTACAAACTTCAGTATGTTTAAGAAATGCTCAGGTGTCTTGTTATAAATGTGGATTCCTGGTCCCCTCAGCAATTCTGATTCAGAAGAACTCCAGATTTATTATTAATAGTTATGCACATTAAAACATTAGATATACTTACATAGGAGTCCTGAGGATCCTACTTTGAGAAACATTGACCTAGGTGCTAAAATTTTAAGATGTAAAATGTCATGCCCAGTTGGTTTCTATATGCCTAAAAGAAGGTTTGACTCTGATGGCTTTATCATGTCCTGGAGTCCCAATTCTATGCTGCTAATGCTAAAGCCTAAATTTAATTTTAATCTGGTTCAGATGGTACTGTGACTATTTCTGTCCGTTTTCTGTAAAGGTAGACGTGGGAAGTGCAGTTTGGAAGAAAAAAGTGTGGTGTCGGATGAAGGGTGTGGTAAGCAGAACTGTAGCGAAGGTCTTAAAAATGCAGTGCTCCACCCCTCACTTATTTCTTGGGTGTGCCTTAGCCTGAATCTCCTTTTGAATTTTTTTTTTTTTTAAGATTTTATTTATTTATTTGACAGAGAGAGACACAGCTAGAGAGGGAACACAAGCAGGAGGAGTGAGAGAAGGAGAAGCAGGCTTCCCACTGAGCAGAGAGCCTGATGCGGGGCTCGATCCCAGGACCCTGGGATCATGACCTGAGCCGAAGGCAGACACTTTATGACTGAGCCACCCAGGCGCCCTCCTTTTGAATCTCTTTGTGCCCAGTTGGGAGATGAAAGCAGAAAACACTGCTGGGAAATCACTTAGCTATGAGGCTAACATTTGCTCTTAATCTTCTCTTGAGATTCTTCTAGTCCTTTTTCTGCCCAATGAAGAGTCAGAGCTAAGGCCACAGGGACCCAATGAGAGAAAGTACCACTATGTCCTAGGCCTCCTCCCCCCGCACCCCCACTCTTATTTTGCATCTAGAACACTATTCTTATAGCAATTTCCAAATGATGACCTTTTATTTCATTTAGGAGAGCCAGTTTGCCTTTTTCAATTAGTTCATGCAATTGTATTTGGATTTTACATTTTGTCTATTCCCAGAGCTACAATTGGCTTCAAAGGGCAAATAATTGCACCTTCGACTTTATTGGTATGGCCATGTTATCTTCCTCTTTCCTCACTAAATTTGATGATTCTGCACCTCTAGAATTAACTTACGGAGATATTTTCTCATTGGCCTAGCAACACAAAATGGTTGGAGCCTTGGAATGATGTATTGTCCTGTAGTTGGTTTTTGTAGAAAAGAAAAGTATACTCCCAAAGTTGTGAAAGATACTAATTGTTACTTGATACAAATGAGAATTTGAAATGTCTGAATGATTTAAATTCTGTTTGTCTTGGAAGATTCATTCTTGACATTCCCTTCCAATAGCAACACATGCAAAAAAAAAAAAAAAAAAAAAAAAAAAAAAGCCGAGGTACTGGATTCCAGAATGCAGTAGATGTTAATCTGAACACATGGAGACAAAAGTATACTTAGAAGCATGGCAAAGCTTCAAAAATAGAAATTCAATGATAACCACTCTCATGTCATCCCAAACTATTAGTGTCAGTGTTCCATCAGGTGGAAGGCATTCTAACTCTTAATTATTTCTCCTAAAAAAATTGTTGTGCTATTTCCAAGAGAAGAAAAAGATAAATGAAGGTGTTTCCTTAGACCACTGTTCTCAAATGTTTTGTTCTTGGGACCTCTTTACAGTCTTAAACATCAATGAGGATCCCAAGTGTTTATAGTATGAGAAATTAAAAAGTAGAAAAAAATTAAATATTAACTCATACAGAAATAACAAATCTATTATATATTAACAGGAAAAATACTTTATGAACATAAGTATATTTTCCAAAACAAAACAACTGTAAAGAGTAGCAGAAAATAAAAGCTCTGCTCTCGCACTGCTAATATTTTATTGAAATCCATAAAATCTGACTTTCAAGACTGTTCAACGACTTGTGTCATTATAAGCTTACTATGAATTTAAATAAAAGTCCACTCCTAGATGCAGCAGACTTAAAATGAACTAAAATTCTGCCTCACTCTCTGAAAATGCAATGACATTGGGCTGAGAGATAGAATATCCAACCTGTCTTCCATCTTAGTAAAATATCCTGAAATTGAGGTATGATAGAAAAATCCCCTAATCTCTCCTCTTATGCTTATTCTGTAATGGTAGTGTAGCTGTAAACAAACAAACTGTATATATATGTACCTGCATGCATATGTATATATCATATTCATGTATCCATATGCAAAATATTTGTATATTGATACTTAAGAAAGCAACACAATAAATCCTGTCAGTGTTCTGAAATCCATTTGTCTCTTTGTTAATCAAAAAAGGAGCTTTAAGACTTAATAGAACTGGATATACTGGGTAAAATAAAGTATATTATTAAGATTTATGGCACTTGTTTTTACTTTTTAGAATGTGGCTCCTAGAAAAATTTACATTACATATGTGGATCGTATTATATTTCTTTCCAACAGCAGTGATCTGTAGGAGAGGAAAAGACATCAAGTAAATTACGGGGTTTTTAAAAATTAAACAGGAAAGGGGCGCCTGGGTAGCTCAGTTGGTTAAGCGTCTGCCTTCGGCTCAGGTCATGGTCTCAGGGTCCTGGGATCGAGCCCCGCATCGAGCCCCGCATCGAGCCCTGCTCAGCAGGAAGCCTGCTTCTCCCTCTCCCACTCCCCCTGCTTGTATTCCTTCTCTCGCTGTCTCTCTGTCAAATAAATAAATAAAAAAAATCTTTAAAAAAAAATTAAACAGGAAGGAAGTTGGCATGGGCATTTTAATTTTTTGATAGATCAAAAATATTGAATTGGAGCTTAATATTTTGGAGAACAGTGAAAGGAGGAAATTAAAATAAAAAACCATTTTAGAATAAATTCAGATTAGTGATTAGGAGCTCTCTGGAGAGTTTATAGCTCGTTGCCTAATCACAGATTACTACTACTTAAAAAGAAAAAAAAAGTCCTCATCATATATAGTGCCTCTTTATTTGTTAAAACTTGATTGGGGGTTTTGCTTATGTCTAAGAGACTGTGTTGGAGCTCAGGGGCAATGGAAGAAGTAGAAGTTTTAATTCTGATATGGTCACCTCTTGAATCTTTCCTCAGTGACAGCAGGAGTCTTATTTTCTTCTCAAAATACATCGATGATTTGGACAAAGGAACTATCTTATGCTCAGATAAATCTATAGAAAATGAAAGTTGTATGTATGCTGCTCTTAAACAAAATAGTTTCTTTAAGGTTTTATTACAGAGAATTTCGAATCCACCCAAAAGTAATCACCCAGCCTGCTCATCAATACCTGGTCATTCAGGCTCCACACATCACCATCCACTTAGCACCTCCCTCAACCCTACATTATTTGAATTCCAGACATCACAGCAGCTCATCTACAAAGAGTTCAGTGTGTAATTCTGAAAAACTAGGCTTTTTTGGGAAACATAGCCACAATACCATTATCCTATCTAAAAAAGGAATTAATAATTAAATTATTTATCCAGTCAGCGTTAAGAAAAAAAAAATACAACATTTTCATGTTGATTAACTAAATGTAAGTTGGAATTAGGCTGGAAAACATACATAGTTTTATAATGTGCTCTAAATAATTACCTTTTCATATTTCAGGATATGAACTTCTATCATCCCCTCGTGCTGATTTCAGAGGAAATAAACATACAGTTAAATGGTCATCTTGTTATGTGTCTATATTTAATTCCCTATTTATCAAGATTCCTCTAGCTATTGATGCGGGATGTCAAAAATACCATATAGCAAAATCTACCCCTTAGACACAAGCTGAATTACATTATGATTATTAGCCACTAGATGCCACAGTCGCTTCAACAAATGAAATCAAGTGGGCCTTGCTCTGTCAAGAAAAAATGATAACATTCTAAATATTAGAGTAAAATACTAAATCAGAGTGTCAGTACCAGCCTAAATTTGCCTGCACCCTGCAGCACCAGCGCATGCTGAACCATATATTTAAATATTTACCTTTAACTTTCATACCTGAGCAAACTATGATATCCATCCTTTTAAAAGCATCTGTGTCTTTTTCTGTGATTTTGAAGTTGTTGCTAATTCTTTCCAATTAGTGCAGTCACTCAGTGTGGTATCTTCATAGAAGTCTGCTGAACGGCTGTCTATAATGTGTTCAACTTGATTTCGGGGTGGTTGAAATTATTAACAGATTGAGAGAGGACAGGGAATCAGTTTCACACTTTTTTTTTTTTTTCTGGAAAATACCATAATCTTAAGAAGCTTTTGTTGCTATTGTTTTCCTCAAAATCTGCCGAGCTGCTTCATAGAGATTTTATCAGGCGATTCACAAGTATACCTATTGAAACATTCTTGTTTAGGTAAGAACAGCAATCCTATCAGACATACTCGGCCAGCAATATTAGAATTACCTACACTTCTGTATGCTTTGTTCCAACAATGTATTCAGATCTGGCTATGTTTTAGTTTAGTATACATTTAATATGTTTAATTTTATTCCATGATAAAAAGTTTCCATACAAATTTGTCACTTAACACCCCTCTTGTCCAAATACAGTTTTTTAAAAGTTTGTTCTAGAATGTATTACTTTATTTTTTGTTTTAATAAAAAACTTAGTCCTTGGCGGAAATTTCCCAGAAAATCATCTACCTGAAAACTCATGTATCTTCAAAATTAAAGTGGGTATGAGAAAATTACTGCACTGACCCTTGGGAAATACCAGATAAATTATATATTTAGGGGAATATAGAGGAATCTCAATAAGTATGACATTAAACTCTTAGGAAAAACTTTCTCAACACTTCTACTTACTACAAATGAGGAAGAGGTGCAGACACTGTGTGGGAATAAGTCATGGAGGTCACCTCAATAATGCTTTAAACGCTTTCCCTGATTCTACCCTTGTCTCTTGCTGGCTTTTTCTTCCTATCCGGAGCTGGAATGGTCCCTGTAAAACATAAATAAATAAAAACCATACCACTGCTCTACTCTACCTTCATTGTCACTCAGAACAAAAGACCAAGCCTTCACAAATGTCTGTAAGGCTCAAAATACCCAGTGTGGTAAACACTAGTTACATGAGTCTATCGAACATTTGCAATGTAGCTAGTCTGAACTGAGATGTGCTATAATGTGTAAAATACACAGTGGATTTGGAAAACTTAGTACTGATAAAAAGAATGTGAATTTTCTTAGTAATTTTATGTTATAAAATTATATCATTATTTATATATTATATATAGTTGCAATGATAATATTTTGGATATATTGAATTGAATAAAATGTTATTTAAATTAATTTCACCTCTTTTTTAAATGTATCTACAAGAAAAAAGTCAAATTGCATGTCTTACATTTCTGGCTCACATTCTAATTCTGTTGGATAGTACTAGCCTAAATGACCAGCAAGTCACTAACTCCTTCCAATTTCCAACCCACATTGGCCTCTTTGTTGTTCCTCAGTATAACCATGTATATCTCAAGCCTTTGGGTTGGCTATTCTCTTCTCCTAGAAAATCTTCCCTCAGATTTTTTTTTTAAATATTTATTTGAGAGAGCGAGAGAGTGCAAGAGAGCACGCGAGAGAGGGCGAGAGAGTGGGAGGTGGGGAGAGGGGCAAAGGGAGAGGGACAAGCAGACCTCTCCTGAGCAGGGAGCCCCACACAGGGCTTCATTCCAGGACCCAGGAATAATGACCTGAGCCTAAGGCAGATGCTTATCTGACTGAGCCACTTAGGCGCCCTTCCCTCAGATATCTTTATTGTTAGTTTCCTCACTTTTTTCTGTTCTGTGCTAAAATTATCAGAAAGAACTTCTTACCAATCAAAGATGGCCTTACCCAACACTTGTATATACCCTCTATTTTTTCAAAACCTGTATCACCTAGCATATTATATGTATTTGTGTGTGTGTATGTGTAATCTCTCCTTAGTAGAATAACCCCCATGATGTCAAGGACTGTGTTTTGTTATTGCTGTTTCTCTAGAATAGTGCTTGGCTTTTGGTAGATACTAAGTAACTGTTAAATAAATCAGAGGATAAATATCATTAAAAATAAGTAGAGTGTTATCTAAGGGATTTTATCATGAAGGTTTGGAAAATGAGAAGAATTAACATTTCCTGATGGCCTACAATGAACCAGACACTGTGCTAAGCACTTATATATAATATCTTACTAAATCCTCACAGAAATGTATTTGCAGATTAGAAATCTAAAGCTCAATTTAAATAATTTTCCCAAGGCCACTTAGCCAGTGTGGAACATCATTTCAATACTTTTCATTTTATTTCAACGTCTCCAAGTACCTTCCCTGAATCCCAGAATAAATTAGATGCTCTTGTAAATACTAAGTATTTTCCCTTCATATCATATGTCACCACTGTAATTCATTGTGTGATGTGGTGCTTATTGTCTTTCTTCCCCACTGTACTATAAACTTCATGATAGGTGGCAGTGAATATCTTGTTGATATTTCCATGTCCAGAGACTTCCACCCTCATGCTTAATTTCTAGTACATGTTTATTGAATACATGAATAAAGTTAACTTTATCTCAAAATATTGTAACAGTTGATGAGTGGGTTATTTGTGGCCAATGAGAATTAATGATTTTGTAGATCTACTAAAAGAATGGCACCCTGTTGGATGTTTCAGAGGAGAGTATGCTAGCGTGTAGGTGTTCTTTACACTTGACCATAGGTAATAGTGCTCCATGTTGTGAATTTCCTCTGGAAGTGTGTTGTCCAACATGGCAGACACATGGGGCTACTTAAATAAAAATTAATTAAAATGGAATAAAATTGAAAATTCATTCCCTTAATTATATTAGCCACATTTCAAGCACCAACAGTCATACGTGGCTAGTGGCTGGCTGCCTTAAAGAAGAGACAGATAAATAAAATTTCCATTATAGGGAGAGTTCTATTGAGCGGCACTATTCTAGAAAGTTAAAAAAGATTCCTAGGAGGATATATTTTCAAATCAGAAGGAGATTGTCCAATTAATTTTGTATTCTAACTAAAATTAAACTTTGAGAAAGAGCCCAATAATCTGTATTCCCAAGTGTTTCTGGGCAAGACGGAGACATGGAAAAGCAGCTTCATTGTCTACTGGATGAAACATTTAGTCAGACGTGCTCATGCAGAGCCAGTGGCTGGTGTGGAAAGAACCACTCCTCCAAGGGCCCTGGGCAGGCCTACTGTTCCAGGGATGCTGCCAGCACCTGGCTGGATTGAGCCCTCTGCCTAATGCTACTCAGTACCATCCCTTTGCATTTGATGCACAAAACAGAAGACTGAAATTTGAAGAGGAAAGAGTTTGGAAGGCCAAATGCACCTCAAAGTATTAGTTAGATTCACAACTTCTAGAGAGAAAGTTTTTTAAATGCCCCCTTCCTCAAAATGTTACACATCTTCAGGTAATTTCTTCCTGATGTAACTTTCTGTAATTTTGGCCAATACAATTTAACTTTCTTTGAGATTCTGTCGCTGCAGGTATTTTTCCCTAATTGGACACGTAAAACATTTCCTGTCATTGCCTTAGAAAATAAAACTGTTTATAGGCAAGAATAAATATTATATTTTCTATTTTATTTTCTGATTAAGGTCACTTATGGGGGGGGGTAAGAATTTTCTTAAATTGAATCTTCAGGGTATTGGCTCTATAATTTGTTCACATTTCTCCATCATCCGCCAGTCCTACTGATTCAGTCTTGACCAAGACTGAAAATAGTTCAGGATTCTCACTTTTAGACAACAGACCAGTAGGAGAGCTGAGGCGGGGACCAGTAGGCAGCCCCACACTTCCCAGCTCAACAGGTGGAGAACATGGGACTTTTTGTTGTTGTTGTTCTTTGGGATTGAGCCCCCACTCACCGTGTTCTGTCAGAGGAAGTATTTCCAGTGCCTCTGAGATTTTCTTAGCAGAAGACACCGAGTGAAAGGGGTGCTTCTGCGTACGCCTGGAGAGGGGTGGTGAAGGATGCCGGTGGGACCGGGAAGTTAGAAAGGTTGGGAGGTGGGGCGCTAGGATGGGACAAAGGGTTTCCCGAGCCGTGAGCGGAGCAGAGAGCGGAGCAGAGAGCGGAGACTCAGAGGAGCAGCGGTGGGAGCACCGCGGAAAAGACCGCAGACGCGAAGAGCACCGCAGACGCGAAGAGCGGAGCGCGCCCGGACCTGGGCGGGGCAGAGTGGGGAAGGGTCGCGCCGGGACGTAACCGGCTGTGGGCCGGGGGAGGCGAGCGGGGCGGGAGTTGCGGGCGCCTGCCGGGGGCTCGGGGACCCGAGCTCCGCCGATGAGGTCAGTGGAGCCGACGCGCCGGGAGGAGGGCAGCGAGCCCGCGGACGCGGGGGCTGCGAGGCCGGCAGAGGGGCGGGACGGGACGGGAAATGGGACGGCGGAGAGCTAGGGCCGTGGGAGGAGGGACGAGGGGGCGTCGGCGCTGGAAGCCGGAGGCGGCCCGACCGGGATCGTTTCCTTCCGGAGAGGAGGCCGGCTCTGGACCGAGGCGCGGACGGGGGGCGTCCCAGGGCGGGTGACGGGGAAATAGCGCGGCTCGCGCTCCTCCCGGGCTGGCAGCGGGGCTGCTTGTGGCTCCTCCTCGGGGCCAGTCCCGAGCCGGGCGGCGGGGGGGCGGGAGGCGGAGAGCGAGGGCGGGGGCTCGGGAAGGAGGGAGGAGGGAGGGACCAGGCGCGCCAGTGACAGGGTGGCAGCCTAGGAGCGGACGCGTTGCCGCCGCTGCCGCTCCACCTCCTCCTCCTCCTGCAGCTCCTCTCGCTGCTGCCGCCGCCACCGCCGGGAGAAGTTTCGCTCCCGACCCTCGCTCGGAGCGAGGACCCGGAGCGGAGCGGGGAGCGCGGCCGGCAGCTGCAACCCGCAGTGGGCCAGGCGCCCGGAGCGCTCCGACCCGGAGCCGGCGTCGGCGCCTGGGCGGCGGGCAGCGGCCCGGGCTGGGGGCGCTGAGGCGGAGGAGGGGCGGGTGTGAGCCGAGGGACCCGCGCGCAGCGCCACAGCCGCTCAGCTAGCGTCCGCGCCGGGGGCAGTCGCGATGGCCGTGCGCTCCCGCCGCCCATGGATGAGCGTGGCACTGGGGCTGGTGCTAGGCTTCACCGCCGCGTCCTGGCTCATCGCCCCTAGAGTGGCCGAGCTGAGCGAGAGGAAGAGACGCGGCTCCAGCCTCTGCTCCTACTACGGCCGCTCGGCCGCTGGCCCCGGCGCTGGCGCGCAGCAGCCGCTCCCCGCACCTCAGCCCCGGCCGCGGCTGGAGCAGTCGCCGCCCCCCGCGCGCCAGGAGCTCCAGGGGCCGCCGCCGCTGGCAGAGGCGGCGCCCGGGGTAACCAGTTTTCGGAGCAGCCCCTGGCAACAGCCACCCCCGCTGCAGCAGCGGCGACGAGGACGCGAGCCCGAAGGCGCAACGGGGCTGCCAGGCGCCCCCGTGGCAGAAGGGGAGCCCGAGGAGGAGGACGGGGGCGCGGTTGGGCAGCGCAGAAGCGGCCGGCCGGGGAGCAGCCACAACGGCAGCGGGGACGGGGGCGCCGCCGCCCCGAGCTCCCGACCCCGGGATTTCCTGTACGTGGGAGTGATGACCGCGCAGAAGTACCTGGGCAGCCGCGCGCTAGCGGCGCAGCGGACCTGGGCGCGCTTCATCCCCGGCCGCGTGGAGTTTTTTTCCAGTCAGCAGTCCCCCAACGCCGGGATAAGCCAGCCCCCGCCACCCCTGCCTGTCATCGCGCTACCGGGGGTGGACGACTCCTACCCTCCCCAGAAAAAGTCCTTCATGATGATCAAGTACATGCACGACCACTACCTGGACAAGTATGAGTGGTTTATGCGCGCCGACGACGACGTCTACATCAAAGGTGACCTCCCAGCGCCGGCTGTCCTGCCTGCCCACCCCTGCTCCTGCCCCCGCCCCCCCCTTCTCTGCAACCAGCCCTAATCCCTGCCCAGCCCGTCTCTGCTTCTCTGCCAGCACTTGCTCAGGGCTTCTGCAGCCCCCACCCCGCCGTCCCCACCCTTAGCATCCGCCCACCATTCCTAGTCCGCTCCTCCTCTTCTCCTGCGGGCTGGACCCTCCTCACACCTGACCGGCTTTATTCTCCTTCCTCACTCTTGCCCTTCTCGTTTCCGCCCAGAGCTTGCCCCTACTCTTTACTGTGTGGGAACGGCGAGGAAAGGGGCTTGAGGCTTAACTGAAGGCTGTTCCTACTCTGCCCTGCTCTGAAAGCCCCGGGTGGTAGTAGTTTCCCGCATCTGTCCAGAGGGGCGTGTCCTCAGGGAAGGAAGGGAAGACCGAGGAAGCGGGCGAGAGCCGGTCTGGAGATGGGTGTTCTAGCTTTCTTCCACAATCGTTTTGTTGTAATGGGATCTAACGCAGTTTCGGAACTGGTGAGACTGAGGAAACATTTTCGCTGTTCCGTACAGTTCCCTGTGCGTTTCCTTCCCTCTCTCACGACCCACCACGCACTGGGAGTCCTTGAGCACCCCCACCCCGCTCCAGCGCTCACCTCCTTCCAGCCACCAGTGTTGCAGCATCAGGTCGGCCCTTGACGCCCGCCCGTCACACCTCTGTAAAACCCGGAGCGGATGAGGGTATTTTTAGGAATTGGTGGTGGAGAAGAAGGGGACAGCGCCCTGAATTATCCAGACCCCAGGAGCTCCAAGCTGTAGACACTAGTGTGGATCCTTTCCAGTCTATTTTGGTGGCTGCGGCGATAAGCAGAGCCTGGAAGTCCTTCCCAAAACCACGCGCAGCCACAGCAGGAGAAAACTTTGTCAGTTTTAAAAGAGGCGCGGTCCTTCACCCTGAGTGTGGGTGGCTCTGGCCAGAGATTTCTAAACTCAGCAGAGAAAAGTTCCTAAGAGCGGGAGTAAATCTTTCCAGTCCCGCCCGTCGCGGATATGGAGACGGATTGGTCAAAGGGGGGCAGCTCTTCCTAGTGTATACCTCTCTCCTTGTAGCCTCGTTGCTTTCTCCTGATCCAGGTAGTCTTTCACCTGATTCAAGGAGAAACAAACAAGATCCGTCCCATTTTGGCTCAGGGAGTGAGTGTAGAGTAATAACTAGAGATTTCTTGGGGTTAGGTTAGGTAGAGTGAAATCATTCCATTGAAAATTCGATACAAAAATAGATGATTGCATATCTGATGAATACACTATCTTTAGATTGAAGATGTATAGATATCTATACCTGTAAGTGATCGCTTATCTTATACTCCCCTTGTCTTCTGTGTCTCACTAAAATCACAAAGGTTTCCTCGCAGAAGTTTGCCACACTTTGCAGAGAATTTCTAAAATGCATTAATAGCATCTATTTCTGTCATTTCTCTTAATGCATTGAAAAACTGTCGTTCAGCACATTGAAGTGCTATAGTCTTTCCATTTCTATTAAGAATGAATATGCATTTTGTATTAAGAACCCAATAATAGTCAGCCGAAACTCGTTGAGATCCAAGGGGCAAGGCATGGGATCAAGATAAATGACTGCAGCTGCCCAGCTCATCAAAACAATGATAGTAAAGATTCTGACTGGGAATATAAAGAAGGTGACTACCTCACTGTATCACTTTGTAGAATATCTAATGTGTTCATACTCTTTTAGCTACAGAATTTTACCTTTAAATCGTTTTTCTTGATGAACTCACGTACTATCAGTAAACCAGTTACTTAATTTTTTAAGAAATATTTATTTTTTTCTGAAAAGGTGCTTTCTAAAGTTAAATTCCAAGACGACTTTAATATCGTCTCTTTCTCAACTTTTGGGTTGTATGTGACTGTTTAGTAATGTGAAGTTTAGTTAAGGACAAAACACAACTAAATTATCAGGAAAAATATTTATTGAGTATCAACAGTCTGCCAATCAATGCCAAATATAACTTATTTTCTGAAAATGTTATCATTACTTCAAACATGCTAATAAATTTGTCATTATTCTCCTTATTATCTCACCTTTTACAAAAAAAAGTCTGATGATTGTTAGACTTCTTAAGGCTTTTCAGTGATCTTGACTAGAAGGTTGATAACATTTTATTATGATTTAATTAGTAACTGAAAATGAGTAGTTTTAAAATAATAGAATATTCAGAGAGGTTTTTCTTCCTTTCAATTGTATTATGACTTTGGGGGAGTTTGCACCCAATGTTGGAAGGTCTTTCCCTTACTTTGTATGTTCTAAATAATTATGAAATTAGCAAGAGGAGTGATTGTTGCCTTTCTCTTTGTAGGTGATAAGTTAGAAGAGTTTCTTAGATCACTGAATAGCAGTAAACCTCTCTACCTGGGTCAGACTGGCCTGGGGAATATTGAAGAACTTGGAAAATTGGGGCTGGAGCCTGGAGAGAACTTCTGTATGGGAGGACCTGGCATGATCTTCAGTCGAGAGGTTCTCAGGAGAATGGTGCCACATATTGGTGAATGCCTCAGAGAAATGTACACAACTCATGAGGACGTTGAAGTAGGAAGATGTGTTCGACGCTTTGGTGGGACTCAGTGCGTCTGGTCTTACGAGGTAAGATAGTCTGTGATGAAAATGTTCACATATTACAGGTGCGTGCAAATTTATAGCCTGGGGCAGTGATTTTGTTTATTCTCTCAACATCTTTTTATTTGCTTGAAAATGATAGAAGCAACCAGGTATGGACACAAGGGTGATTGTGGGAGGTAACTTTCTTCACAAAACTGAGGCCTGTTGGAGGTTTTTTTTTATTAGCATGACCCTTAGCTTTAAGCAGCAGCCCGTTTATCCAGTCACGTCTCTGGAAGATGCTATTTCCCCTCTATTTGCTTTATTGGTGTTTATATACATGCTTATCCATTTCCTGTCTCTAACAAGAGGACTAATTGTATTCTCTTGGGTTGTTGCTTTTAACATTTGGTACTTGGTTGGTTGTTGCTGTTGTTGTTTTGGTTAGGTATATAAGTGCATCTCTTTGTTTCCAAATAGTTAAAATCTAAAGTTTCTTGGAAGATTTTCATTTGGAAATTTAGCATGTTATTTTTTTAAAGCATAGGAAGAATTAACTCATAATGTATCATTTATGATAGATTCATTTACAAAATAAAGGGAATTAGTTACCTGGGAAAACAGAAGTAGTTATGAAGATGTTAAGTAACTATTTAAATTATGATTGATTGCTTAAAATTGGTCTCTGTCTTCTCTTATTCCATTTCCTGAAAAGCAGCCATTACTTACATAATCTGAGTTACGAACTGTTCTTTTATGGTGATAGTTTTATGAAACACTCTGGGATTTTTTTTTCCTTCAGAAATTTGTTTTGAAAGGAAATACAATTTTATTTAAAATAGTTTTCCTAAAAGATAATCTTAGTAAAAATTGGATTTAACATTTAAATAGTGTATTGCACTTTTCAGAAGTTTGGTTTTCAAGTGTTTGGGGTTTGATACACTTCAGCTATCCATTGCACACATTTGTAAATTATAACGTAACTCATTTATTTATCTTTTCAAATTTTTCATGTCTCCTGGTACAGAAGAAAAATGAAAATATGTCCCTTGTAAAGTCATGATACCTCAAGATTACACAGTCCTAATCATTCTTCTTTTGGAAGTGTAATCCCACTTTAGTTAATTTTGTTTTGTTTTTTATACTTTGTAGTATTTACACTTTGGGGGAATATTTCTTCTGTCTATTACAGAAAGTAAAAATTATCAGTAACCATTTATTTGGAGTATGTATTATGCAGATTTAAAATTATTATATACCTCATTCCTTTTGATAATAAAATAGTAATTTGTCTTTTGTTAAACTATGACTACCCTATAGAATAAAAATTTATGCAAGAACATTATAGTTAAAAATAGGTATTTTAGAATAACAAACATATTTGTGTTTCTCTATTTAATATAAAACTAACTGGAAGGCAAAAAATAAATAGTACAGAAAACACAAAAAATAAATAGTACAGAAAACACATTAGGTTGTTTATCTGAAGATATTATTTTGGAGACATTGGCTCTGTGTGGGTAAGTAAACAAAATTAACCATATTTAAAAATAAAGATGGAAATTTATTATGTTTTATTTGGTACTATATTGCCTTAACATCACATAGAAAGTTTTAACCTTTTGTTTAAATCCTTCTCTTCAAGTTTTCATTGATTTTGCTGTGATACAGTCTTCACCTAGTTGTGTACTCATTTATGTTCCAAGAGAGTAAAATATGCTCAGTAACCTACATGCAGAAGAATTGATTTAGTATTTATTTTCATTATAGGCTTTTGTTCTGATTAAAGTGAGGGGAATTCTCATAGATGTGCACACTCTGTATTAATATGAGTGGAGTCTTAGATCTTACCATAAACTGACATAAAAGAACAAACCAAGGGATTCCAAACCTTACAAGATGTAACTTCATGATCACAGTATTTTCATTAAATTTTCAAAATACATTTGAGTTTAGACTCATACTAGGGTATCACTGACTTCACAATCTATATGAAGGAAATCATTTCTACCTTTTTCCCCTAGCAATAGAAAATATTATTTTCTGAAGTTGTGCTGTTGACTTTCTTATGCTAAACAATTGTATACAATTTACTTTGTTTTGGAAGTTCAGTTTTTAAGGAGTATTTAAACAGTATTTATTTTAGAGGAGGCATTTGGTAATACAAGGTCTCAAAGTCTTATTTAAAGGAATGATGGGACATCACTTTGCACTGTGCACTTTGCACAGTGGTAGTATTGTAGCCAATGAGGTTTATCCGAGGCACAATCATTGCTGATTAAAGGAATGATGGAAAATTTCATTAGCAAGGGACATATTAAACAGCATCTTTCAACAAATTCAGTAAAGATAAATATACAATAGAGTTATAATTTAAGCATTTTAATATTAGGATGTTGTTCTCTGTTTTATGAGATACTTGGTTAGGTCAATTGGATCACAGCCAAAGTAGGATTTTCCAGTTTGGATTTTAGGTTAGTTCAAATGATGTCCATTCTATACTACTGTTCACATTATATGGAAAAAAGTAATCTATTCCTCTGTACATTGGCATCCTCAGTTAAGGTTAGAGATTTTACATCTGGTCGTACAACAAGCTATGAAACCGATCCTTAACTTTGTTTTCATACTTCTTTTGAAAGAACTCTCTGTGATGGAATTCTCTTAAAATCTTGAATTTCCTTTATCTATACCTTTCATGGATTTCAGGATTCTGTTTGGCTTTTCCTCTAGTAAAAATTCTAGCAGAGTTAAGAGCACTGTTCATGATTTTTGAGTTTGAATATATGAAACATTCATGATGGAACTTACCTTTTAAAAATGATAGATAGACTTGCAGATCTTTCAGGAAGAGAATTAGACAAATATATTAAACTATATAGACTAGGTAGCTTTTCTTTATTATAAATTATTGTTTTGATTTTTTTTAAAGACTTTATTTATTTGAGAGAGAGAATGAGATAGAGAGCATGAGAGGGGGAGGGTCAGAGGGAGAAGCAGACTCCCTGTTGAGCAGGGAACCCGATGCGGAACTCGATCCTGGGACTCCAGGATCATGACCTGAGCCGAAGGCAGTCACCTAACCAACTGAGCCACCCAGGCGCCCCATAAATTACTGTTTTTATAAAACCTAGAAATCTCCTAGAATTCTTTACTGCTCGTGAAAGTGTACTTTCTTTGTATATACAATTAAGCATAATTGGGAAAGAGAGAGGGTAAACTTAAACCTGGGTTTGAGTTCTGTTGTCTTTTGTAATTGAGCCTTGTTTAATTAAGCTGAAATTGGATATTATAAGTGTCTACCACATACTTTTTGAAGAAGTTTAAGTGAATTGGTGAAATGATCTATGTAAAGCCCTTAATATAGTGTTTGGCGGGGTGCCTGGGTGGCTCAGTTGGTGGAGCGACTGCCTTCGGCTCGGGTCATGATCCTGGAGTCCCGGGATCGAGTCCCACATCGGGCTCCCTGCTCAGCAGGGAGTCTGCTTCTCCCTCTGACCCTCCCCCCTCTCATGTGCTCTCTCTCTGTCTCTCTCTCTCATTAAAAAAAAAAAAAAATATATATATATATATATAGTGTTTGGCACATAGTATATTGTCAATAATTGTTGCTGAATAGATCGTGTACTATATTAAATATAACAAGGATTCATCCATATTTTACTTCATTTAGTAACTATTAGTAATGAGTGATTTGTCTATATCAAAAGAGGCAAACTAAAAATAAGCTGAATTCTTTTCAGTTAAAGAATCCAAGTTTAGGGCGCCTGGGTGGCTCAGTTGGTTAAGCGACTGCCTTCGGCTTAGGTCATGATCCTGGAGTCCCGGGATGGAGTCCCGCATCGGGCTCCCTGCTCAGCAGGGAGTCTGCTTTTCCCTCTCCCGCTCCCCCCTCTTGTGCTCTTTCTCTCTCTCACTCTCTCTCTCAAATAAATAAATAAATAAAATCTTAAAAAAAAAAAAAAGAATCCAAGTTTAAGTTTTTTTGGCATAGAACGAGAAACTTTTATGTTTTGGTATTGTTGGGTATTGAATCAAATGTCAGTAGAACTTATTATAAGGAGGTCTGTATGTTTAAATGATGCATTACAAACATTTGCTTCTGTCTTTGAACACCATATTAATAGCTTATCCTAAGGAGATAGTGTGGAAAATATTAACAAGTGATTATCTAATATACATGTTTAAGGAATACCAAACAAATCAGACTCTATATTAAAAAAATTACTGCATAGATTTCTAGATCAGTTGGCAGAACAGTAGCCCCCTTTTCTGAGTTTCTCTGGAATTTTTAGTAGGAAAGGAAGTTAGTAGTATCTCATCCTGCAGTCATCTTATATGAATACCCAGGAACTTGTCTCTCAAGTAACTGGAACCTCTTTCTGATGTTGCTCACTTTTTTGGGAAATAATGGATAGCTTCACTTCCTTCCCAGGGTAAGGTCCTGGTGGTCTGGGACAATATGCCTTGCCTGTGAGCTTCTTACTTTGTTTCTCTGTCATCTCCTCCCCTTGTACTTTTTTCCTTCTATATTTAATGACAGATAAAATAGATTACAAATGCATTTTAATAGACACTGCTTTTCATCAAGTTCTCAGTAAATTAACATGCTTATGACAGGCCAGTCCCAATATTGCAAGAGTTCACAGGATGTGTGCCCAGATCACATTTAGGGCCCAGGAATCATTTGACCTCTTCTGAGTTAAGAGGCCTTTGGTTGCTGGTGAGCCTCAGATGGACTGGTTCTCTGTGTGCCTGAGACCATCGGGCAGTCAGAATTAGGATTCTCCCTTTGCTACTTCGAGGTAGAAACATCTAGATTCTAAGGACATATGGAAGATGTTAATCAACACACTTGATGGGTTGCTTTTGTATTCATTTATACCTCAAATTGTATAAGTAAAGATTACTAACTGAAGCATGTTCGTGAAAAATCATTCTATTTTATTCACTCTATGAGTGTGAGAATTTATTGGCATCTACTGACTTTTTTGGTAGAGCTTTGTCTTGGCTACTGTTTTCCTAGTTATCTGAGCTACAATCTG